TCAGGGCCGAGAGGTCTGGGTTCGAGACTTAGCCGGGTAAATATGTTAACCGGGCCTATAAATGTTACTGGTCAAATGTCAGGGAAGTCTGATGAAATGCTGGGGAGTAACCTCGCAATGGACTGGCATCCCATCCAGGTGGGAGTGGTATTACTACTAGTCGCTTCATGCGAAGGAAACAGTGATACAATCAGGCTGGATGGGCCACAGTTTCTTTAGAAACTCACCCCCTTATAGTTATCAGAGTCTCACAATGTGGGCGTGGCCCTAAAATACAAAGAAATAATGAATTTGTTGTCAATATTTTAGTTTTTATGTTTTCTTCTTGGCAAGTAGAGTAGTGACATAGTTACTATGAAGATGATCGTGTAGCCCTCTGGAATTATTCAAACTAAGCGTTCACCAATTTTGTTTTACATTTTGCAGAGTCCTATTCTCAATATTGACATAGCACCAACTATTGTGGAGCTAGCTGGTGGGAAAGCCCCTGAGTCCATGGACGGACGATCGATTCTCCCTCTCTTGGTGCGTTATTAGTGCTGGAGGATAGTTCAGCTAAAACTTGCCCGCAGTAGCGTTTGCCGAAAGAAAAACGTTTCAACGAACTTAATTATACACGTAACATGGTCAGTCGTGATGAAAACCGAAATGCGGTTCTACGGAAGCGCGCTTTCCATTGAACCGAAAATTCTGGGCGCAAAATCAAATGGAAAATATTTTTGTGGAAGGAAGAATTCCTTAGGACATCCTGTTTTCCTACAGCATGGCACAGTCTGATCCACTAAGCCTTTTTAGCAAGGGATATTTCCTTTTTTTGTTATTTAATCTCAGCTTTTAACTCCAAACGTTTTCATAGCTTAGCGTTTCGTCGCAGTCGATGCTGTTCTAGGCAGACAGCGTATAGTAATTTTATACAGAGGGTTACCTGTTGGGCACAGTGTAACTCTTGTTGAAAGTTTTAACTTGTAACAGACCTTCAAGTAGTTTGTATATCTCTCTTACTCTTTCTGTGTTGTTCTACTAGCAGTTCAGTTTAAGTTACAAGTAGCTTGGTAAAAATTTTGTTTGTCTATTTGCCGAAAAGATAAGTCGATAATCACTTTTGTTCTTCAATTTTAGAAGGCAGATGGCGAGAGCAGCCACAAAGGGGTGAGTTTTTTAAAAGCAAAAAATTACAATCACTGTTTTACACATCTATACCGCACTTTTCGCAATTCCAAACCGGGTCAAAAAAAATTATTTACCACCATTTTTAGTTCTCTTTCGTTTATTGCACGTTTTTTTTCCTTGTAAGAAATCGGTATTTCGCTAACAAAGTAAGACGCTTTAAAACCCTCAAATTGGACAAATTTCGCTCTTCCTCTCATTCACCCTCTGAAAATTAATTTTGCCATTTCTCCTTCATGGTTTAGCTTCCATTTGTGAAAAGTGTTGCACTTTGTTTCTATTCAGGGAAACGCAAATTGGCGCACGGACTTTCTTGTTCAACACTTTGGTGAAGGAGATCTTAAGATTGGGGGCTGTCCGCAGCTTTCTCCTGGTGTGTCGGTATGTAACTCGTCGCAGAATTTTAATTTGCCAGATTCCTTTCATAAGGCTCTGTTAGGTCTAGTATCCAGACCTTCTACTGCCATGTGGTAATAGTTACAGTTACAGTTACACAGTAGGATCTGGATACAAGATTAGTTCTGTCTAAGTCACATACCCTGACCTTCCACGGCCAAGCGGTCCTACATTTCAGTTACAGTTACACGGTAGGTTCAGGGTCCCACCTCATTGGCACTTAGAGTTTTCATGGTCTCCCTTCCACGGTGACTGTGTGCAGATACCAGTAGTAAAAGTCTATGCAGGTAATTGCCCTTGATGCATACAACAGAATTTGAGGCATAAAAGTTTGACGTTAAGCAGAATAACAGTTGCCTTTTATAACTATACGACTACTGAGTTTATTAGAATGTATCTTGAGCTTCAATTACGCGTTTCCTTCATTCTACCAATGCAAAATGAATAATTGATCAGAAAGCCGTAGCCTGCGTAGCCAGGCCTCTAAAGGAGGGAAGAGGCTAGGGGAGAGGGGGGTGAACGGAATAAAAGGAACACTCATTTTTCTATATACCCCCTTTATACTTTCCATTTTATTTTCTTCTTTAGTGTTGTTGGCCCAACTGTGTGTGCGAAGACGCTTGGAACAACACATATTCTTGTGTCCGTTCTCTAAGCTCGTCGGAGGATATGATGTACTGTGAGTTTAACGACAAAGAGGTAACTTTAACAAAGAACAGATAAACACGTACTACAATGGGTTTGTCTAAGGGACACTAGGAACGACACGGGTGTGCAGTCACTCCATTTTTATTTCTTGTTATAGGTTTAGGCATGAAGTTATATGCAAGAACTTAAAACCTGTTGCTCGGTTCACGATTTCGATTTCCAGCGCTTTCCACCGATTGTTTGTTTTCCTGCGCACTGTTCTGTGGCGTGTTTCCGCGCGAATTTCTTCCTATTGAATGCTTTCCAGGCTTTTTTATCTTTCTCTTCTCGATTCTTTCTCGGAGTTTTCAAACGTTGTTGTTTTTCGTGTATTCCAATGCAGGCCTTTGTGGAGCTGTACGATATCAAGAAAGATCCTGATCAACTGACGAATATCGTCAAAAAAGTTGCTCCAAAATTTCTAGCAAAAAAACACTCTCGCCTGGTGGATCTAGCGACATGTGCAGGGGATTCCTGCAGGGAAGCCTACAGTGAGACCGAGGATTTAGGGCTTTGAAATAAGACCAATCGGTCAGAATACTAAAACAATATCTTTCGGGCACAGCGGGGAATAAAGGAGATGTTCACCACTGAAAAAGCTCTTGATTTCTGCACAAATTTTCCTGGTTAGCATCTTAGGAAATGTATAGAGGGTAGGTCTATTGATGTGTGTGTGTATCAAAGGGTTACAATATTTTATTGCAAAATATTTCCAGAATTATTTCGCTAGAAAAAAGCAGTGATTGATTTTCATAGATAGTACTAGTAAACATAATTGTAACCAACCAAGTACAATTAGAGTGTTTAATTGGATTATCAGAGGAAATTAGATTTCATGTTCATTTCACCTTTATTGGATAACAAAAGGCTTAACCAATAAAAGAAAAAAAAACATTACTCGTTGTCGTAGTATTTTATATTTTAGAAATATCAAGACTTAAATGATTTTAAATTAAAAGGGAGAGTTTTCAAGGGAGCGTGTTTGGTTATTGAGTCCGTGACAGAAATGACTGAGTATTCCATGCCTTGTGATGGCGTACACTTTCTGCTTATTACAACGTTACCAAATGCGTTATTCAATCTAGTTTAAAAAAAATTTGTTCCAAAGGTTCGTCTTCACATCGAAGTTAAGTTATGCTCAGCCAATTCAAGCATCTCAGATGCTCGGTTCGCTTTGCGTTATTTATTTATTTATTTATTTATTTTACTTCCTTAAATCTTTATTTGGCAAGTTTGGACGTATCCTCTCTGCTAACTATAACTAAACCGTCAAACTAGCACAATTCTAATATCTAAATGAGTTCATAGGCTCAATTTTATTTTAAAGCAAATGATCGATGCTTTATCCTGAATAGAAATCGTTGACATTTATTATTTTTCTCTTTTTTTTTTTTTACTCAATGGCAAACTACATTAGAAGCGTTTGGAATTGGAAAACAGTCAGCAAGCAAATGTGTAAACTAGGGCTTTCCCTCAACCATGGCCTCCTCGATCAATCTCTTTGCTCAACAGACAGACAGCCTTTCATGAAAGAGAAGTGTCACAATCGGCCGAGATTTGTTCCTTTGTCCATTTTATGAGTCCGATCCAACTTTTTAATTTTATCGATTATGAAGCTTCGACTTCCGTCGGAAAACGGGCCCAACAAATAAGATAAATTTTAATTAACTATCGCCATTAATTTTTTACTTAAATGATCATTTAACTCCATATTTAAAGTTATCTTTCTGTTTCACAGATTAAAATTGAGAATTTAGCGAATAAATGCAAGCAAAATATTTTCAAGTAAGCACTTTTACTTCCGGCGGGCAGTCGAGGCTCACCACCATTGACACCATAAATTTGAGCTCATTTCATCAGCCGGGCGTAGTGGCGCACGTCTGTAATCCAGCTGCTTGGAGGCTGGGGTCGCTGAATGGCTTGAGGGCGGGATTCCTGGGGGTAGTCGTTCTATGTAGATCGGGTGTCCGCGCTAAGTTTGGCGTCAATATGGTGAACACAGAGGAATCTGAGTTCTCCAGGTTGGTTAAAGAGGAGCGAACCGGCCCAGGGTGGAAACACAGCAGGCAAAAGCTCCCGCGTCAAACAGTAGTGGGATAGCACCTGTGAATAGGCGGTTGCTCACAGCCCGACCAAGATAGTCGAACTCGATCCTGTCATTCTTTTCTTTTCTTTTTCTCTTTTTCTTTTTTATTTTGTCTTCCTTCGTCGTCATTTAGTTCAGTATTTTTCGCAAATGACTTGTTTCGCCTTAGTTGCCTTGCCAATCGAAACGCTTATTCTCACAAAAGAGAAATCAAAATGTCACAACTAAAATCTACATAATTTTTTTCGAAATTTATCAAACTGAAATTCTCTAGAAGAACTGTTCGCGATATATCAATTTCCATTCATAGTTTACGGATATTTCACAAAATTTACCTCTTGAAAACCACGGACCGGTTACTTACGCGAGGTCGAATCCAAACCGCGGTTTTACGCACGCAGTAGGCCTTAGATTTCTCTACTAGTGGGTTACCAATTTTAATTAATTTTCATTCGAAAATAAAAGTCCTCCACCGCTAGCTTTCGGCCCTCTAAACTCTGTTAAAAAACAACAACAACAACAAATATTCAGAAAAAGGATTCAGTTCACGTTCTAAGTTTTAATTCCCAAACTGTTTCACGAAAATTATGGGAGTCCCTAGCCTCCCCACCCAGAAAGAATTGGATTTGTTATTTGTTTAATGACGCATACCCTTTGGCTAGGAGAGATCATCTTTCACCCTAGACGAATATGGCGGTTAGCGAGCTGAAAGCCTGGTTTCAGTTTCAGGATGTGTGTGACAACCGTAAACAAGTCTTCCATTCGAGTTGTTTTATCATAGGCCCCTATGCGAACTGAATTGCAGAACGGCAATCGTAATTTGCCCAAGAATAGAATCCTCGAGTGGTTAACTTCGAGATTGTTGCTCATTTTTGAAAGAGGTTTGTTTGCCTTGCTTTATTTGTTAACACGATCAACTGGTTTTGAAATGGAAAGTGACGATGTGTTCTCGAACGAAGCAACGAAACCTCGAGATCCCAACTCTCTAGATAGAAAACGTGCTCAAATCAAATCTCACATGGCGAACGATGTTCGGGACAGAAATCGCGCCATATCTGTACCTCATATGCCCGGAGAGAAACATACTGCAAGTAATCCAGTGAAAGATTTCATCTCGAACTTTGTCAATAGGAAAGGACCTAAGAAACGAAGCACCATAAAACGATCTGTGACCACGGAAAATGTTAGCGACGAGAAAGCGCTAGTTAGACATGTCGGGAGAGGACATACGTTTATTCAACATCAACTACGAAATCCTACATGGTGCGATTGTTGTGGAGAGTTTATTTGGGGACTTTTCAAGCAATGTGTGCGCTGCAAAAGTGAGTAATTATTAAGTGTTTCTTCACCATATTAAGGATTGAATTGCAAGCAAAGGATAATTCTAGTTTGTATCACATCTGGCTGTTTGCTCAACAACAGCCGGTTGGCGCATATTGTAAATTCGATAAGAGGTAAACACACCATATACGTATGTTGATCGTAGCTTCTGGAACTATATCAACCAGTGGAAAGTAAGGTTTTTTTCCCCTTTGGCAAAGTCCATTGGTAAGTACAAGGGGAGTAAGGTCGAAAATACTAATCTGCTGATCCTGAAACACAGGTGAATCTCGTACAATAATATGTACGTTACGAATTAATCTCATAACAAATGATTCGCTTGTAATGTATACCTCGTAATGATCGCAAAAAATATTTAAAACAAGTTAAATTCACTCATCCGTTTAACTGTTTTTTTGCCTTGTTCTCAGTAAACCGATGCCAGCTATTTTTAACTGGTTAGTTTTCTTGTTCGGGAATTCACTTAAATATTGAAGTGATTAGGAACATTCACTTGCTACATAAAATATTAATGATTGCTAAGCATTTATCAATTAAAATGTTTATGAGAGACAAATGATTTCCTAGACCCCTAATATTAAAACCATATATATTAGATGCTTTTCAAATTTCCCCATCCCAGAATTGGTTAGGTTCTTGTTCAGGAATTCACTTAAATATTGAAGTGGCTAGAAATATTCACATGCTATATTAAATATTAATTATTGCAAGGCATTTATCAATTAAAATGTTTATGAGAGGCTGATGATTTCCTAAACCCCTAATATTAAAGGCATGTAGATTAGATGTGTTTCAAATTTTCCCAACCCAGAATTTATTTTCCATGAACTTAAAACTCAATAAGAAAAATTTTAAAGTCTAAGTCTAGACCAAAGACCAAAGTTAAGGAGAGTCAAACTGAAGCTAAAAATAGTCTTTATAAACCCCTAACTCCTAAGATCTGGTTGTCAACTCTCCATCCTGTTTGTTACAAATTTTTCTTAAGTTTAGTTGTGAGAATTTGGCAATAAATCCAGGATCATCCCCTGGCTATAATTTTTTTCATTTCTTTTTACCTTTCTGCCTTAAAATTCATTGACACTGTTAGGAGAAATTGTATTTTGGTCACTTCTGGATGGCAAAGTTAAGCAGGAATAGTTTGGAGTCTTAGGAGACTGCTTGCTTAATTCATAAAACTGTAGCAGATTCAGTGCTCTATTGTTAATTCTGAAACATAACAGAGTGAGTAATGAAAACCTCTCTTAGCTTTGGCTATAAGATGAAGCAACACTACCTTGCCAAAACAAACTTTTTACAAGCAAAAGATGTAGTGTTAAATTGAAAATTTATAATAAAAAAAAAAGTGAAACCTAAATGTCTGCTTGTGGGTTTTATGGAACAACATTTCTCAGTATGGATGTGGGTGTCTTCTGAAAATGTTTTGATATTGTAGAAGGAAACTCCTTTTTTGTCACTAAGTGGTTAGTATGAGTTTGGTCTTTGAGGCATTCATTGACTTGGGTATTGGTTGAGAAGAGAGGCTGGAGGGGGGGGGGAGGGTGGGGAGAGGCGATCTCCTTCTTACTCCAGTAATCATGTTTAATTAAGTATACCTAAAAAATTCTCAGCAGAAGAAATCTTTATTGCCATGTAAACATCCCATTTAATAGCTAAAACTCTTGAATAGCAGATGGTGCAATTTGGAATTGTCAATTATATTGTGTGGAACATCCGTATAAATTGTTCCTCTTCAAAGACAAGAAGAGTCTTATGGCAGTTTTGAAACTAATTTCTGCATTCACAAGGATCTACCTTCATTTGCGCTTGTGCCTGTACTTGAATTATAATATTATTGTAACTTTAAATCATAAGCTTCAAATCCTAAGCAATATTACATAATCTTAATCAATATTCACAAATTTCCTTCACCTTCCTTTGGCCTTGAAATTTGAACTATTGATCAGTTCCAGGCAAGTAACAAAATATTTCTCTTCTGCTAAACAAATTCTTTGAAGGGAACTGTTAGCTAAAAGAATTTTTTTATGTTCATTTTACTGATGACCCCTAAAATTGTCCACTGAAGTGAAAAATGTACAGCCTGTATTGGTCCGTATGTAATAGATCAGAGAAACTGTCTTTATCTCTGTCATTTGTAGGTGCTCTTTTTTTAATGGAGATGTTCCCTTGTCAGTAGGGACAGCCACTTGTTTAATGAAAAAAATGCAAACTCAAGACAGGTTAATATATTATAATTTTACTGACAAGGGGATGCTTACCTCACAATTTTTTCATTTACATTCTTCTGTATTTTATTATTGATAAAGCTGTAATTAAATTAATAAATATTACATAGACACGAGAGTTTGCAAAGTAATCAGAAAAATTGTTATTTCAATGTCATCTTGTGACCATTGTCATTATAGTACAAATGCATGGCAAGGCTGGGACAAAATTAATTTTTAAGGAGAAGTATATGGTGCAAAAAAACATTGTGAGTTCAGCTGCATGCAATTTTGTAATAATCAAAAATTACCTTTAACTACAGAAAGGATCAAATTGCTTTTTTCTGTCAGTAATGGACCACATTTTTGTGGTGATTTTTTATGTGACAGTTAAAAGAATTTGAAATCCAGTGGCTTCCATTTGATCAGATATAATCTTCAAAAGAGATGAATTGTCCTTTCATTATCAACTGTGGTGGATGAGAAGTCTGAAGTTTTTTCACCAAATACACATTTATTAAACAACCAAAATGTCTCATTGGGCAAAATAAGTGAAGAAATGAATTTTTTAATGGGTGGAGACCAAAATATGAGATTTAATCAGAAAATCGACACCTTCTCACCTCTTGTTAATTAAAAATAGAAGATTATTCATCTTCTAACATCCAATTTAGTCATTTACATTTGAGTCTGCTTTCAATCAATATTTGTTTCTTAATTTCTCAAGAATGGACTGTCATTATTGAGCTATCTTTGAAGTAAGGCCTTTTTTTCTGCAGGGAATTTTTACTGTGTTGCTAGTAAAAAATTTCTAAATGTAAGAAAATTTTTTTTTTGATTTTCTGTTCTTAGAGTGAAATGTAAATATATTTCATTTTCAACGAATGGCACACATAATCTTAAATGGGCTATTTCTATTTACAATAAAATAAAACCCTCAAATGGGTTTAGTTTCTTCCAATCAGCTTTCTTCAATCCATGTTAATTTTTTTTCATTCCTACTGTTCCTGTCTGGTTTATGCTGGCATCTTCAAGTTATTTTTTTCTCTGAAAAGCTCACCTTCAATGGTTTCTTTTGATCTAAATAGGAGCGAGAGCATTTTCAATAACCCCAAAGCAAAGAAAAAAACAGTGACAGTAGTACTGCTCAAATGTAAGGTGACAATTTCACTTTGAAGCTAAATTTGAAACTTTCAAGAATTGTGTTTTAATGCTTTCATTTTCACTTCCTGTCCACAAGAATTGATGATTGAGTCTTTGTAAATTAAGCTTTGAGGCTGGGAGCTTTGTTAATTCAGGGGAATTTTCCTATTTCTGTGTTTACAGATTGCAAGTATACTTGTCACAGACGATGCAAAGAGGATGTGGATTTAGACTGTACTGGAGGCTGGCTGTATGAAAGAATGATGTCAGTTGATGAGGTGACCATGAAGACATTGCATCTTGTAGATCAGGTAATGTCATCACTTTTGAGTGGGCAGTGTGGTTAAGTGCTTGTGCAGCTGTATATAAACTGTCCCTGCATGTCCATATGTTTTTTGTGACTGTGTAGTCAGAGCAAATGTCCTGGTCTCCTATACAGTTTGGGTAAAGTCCCATTTGAAAGTGAATTTGGATATTTTTCTCTCAAAAAGGTGTAATTTAAAGTAAATTTTAACTCCCTGAAATAATACTTGGGCTGTAATTAGGTGAAGGGTTTTTTTCATGTTGGGTTACACAAATACATTTCATTTCAGGGACTTAGAGTGTGTTGGAGAGGAGATTAACTGGGATAAAATGGTATATTAAGGGATAATGTTGAAGGAAGCCTGAACTGAAATCAGGCATTTATTTATTTCTGTGGCAAGAGGGAGGAGGAGGGCCATAGGCTCCAACCTTCTGGCCAGTTCCTCTCTGTATCAGTTTTTAATTTCTCCCAGTTCAACCTTCTTCAAATCTGTGGGCTCCACTTGGTATACAGTCAACTGGTACCTAGTTCACATGAACATTTTCTGACAAAGTTAAAACTGTCTTTAAAATTATCTGTGAATGAATGATACACAGCTTTTTCTTTACCCTTTATCTCCCAAAGATCTCATTTGTAATTCTCCTTACTGTCTGTCCCACAATACATATGATGTTGTTTTGGAGAATTTGGTGTTGGATAAACTAATAATCCCCTAATTTGTATTTTCCTTCATTCTCATCAGCTTTCTGCTTGATATTTTATTGATGTTGTAAAAAGAAATTTCTATCTTGGTCACACATGGGAATTAAAGGATTACCTATGGTTGTATAGCTATCTGTATGATTTATAGCCAAACTGAAGTTGTCTTTCTTGTGAATCTTTACAGGGAGAGAAGAGGAAAGAACCGTTTATTCTGTACACAGACTCCCCAACAGGAAGCCTCCTTCGTGAGAAAATTGATGAATACAATTCAAGTACAACTGGACTTATAATGTCTATGGTAACCATGATTTTTGTACTAAATCGTTGGGAAAGCTAATCATGTCAAATTTGTAATTGTTGTGGATAGATTTTGAATTCTTGGCGTAGCATATGTTAAAAAGTGCCAATCTGGGACAGGTTGTATGAAGGGCAGAGAACGCTATCCAACAGATAAATCACTATCCAGTGGATAAGTGCTAACAGAATGTACTGCACTATCCACCAGAAAGAGATTTATCCTGTGGACAGGTTTATCCAACCTTCACACAACCAGAGCCTGACGTCAGAATCGTAAATGCGTGACAACCCTTTACACCCTAACATCAGTTTGCATATTCTCCATACTGTTCTCTGAACATTTTCTTAAGCGCTGATGAGGAGAATTTGCTTGAAAATCAAGAGCTTTCTAAGTTGGTGATCATTTCCTTGATTCTCATGGCCTTAATGTTTGATGCAGGGGTGATAATGTAAGGAGAAATTAGAATTTGGTCACTCTTAGGGGTTGAACAGTTAAAGAGGGTCTCATTGGGGTTTACTCATAACTGTAAAACAATAAAAAAAATTAGCTGTTAGCCATAAAAATGGACAAATTATAAGGGGCTAGTCAAAGAAAAAATGCAGTAAAAAAATTCTTTTAACCATAATGGAGAGAAATAAACCATTAGCAATTAAGTGGCCAAAATTTTAACCCTTTACCTCTCAGAGGTGATTAACATGAAACTTCTCATTATCTTATCTATACATTATCCAGCAAACAGCAAATGAGAAAACCCAAACTTGTCAGGTAGAAGTTGTTACTTTGAGCTAACACCAAATTCTCCCAACTTATTTTCAAGGAATTGTATAAAAGCTGAAGGGGAGAATTAGCAATTAGATTTTTCTTTCTCCATCAAGACCCCCCTTAAAGTTTGCTCTATATTTTCTGATCCAAAGCTTGTTTTTTTTGCCAGAGGACTGAGGACACATACCAAGGCTTTATCCGTGTTAATATGAACTTACTCCGTCCAATCCACATCATCGAAGGAGAGAGACCTCTGTCAATTTTTCAGACTGCTGTAAAGTCAAAGGATGATGATGATCTGAATCAGAAGGTGATTGTAATTATATTAAGTTAAAGGTAAAATCTGTACTCAAGGCGAGTGGTCCTTGCAACAAAGGTTTATCTCAGTTTCCTTAGCTTGAAGCAATAAGGAGTATCACCACCCCCTCCCCCCTCTCTGGGTGGGATGCTAGTCCATTGCAAGATTACTCCCTAGCTTTTCGCCAAGCTTTCTGAACAATTTGCAAGTACCCACTTTACTCCTGGGTGGAGAGAAGCACTGTGAGAGGTACATGTTAGTGTCTTGCTCAAGAGCATAACACATTGACCCAGGTGGATTTCAAACCTGAACCTCCCATCCATAGTCCATCACTTTAACCTTTTCACTCCCAGATCAAATTTGTAATTCTCCTCACTGTCAACCATACAATTCTTATATTGTTAGTTGAGATAATTTAGTATTGGATCAACTAATTATCCCCAAATTGATATTTTTCCTTAACCTCATCACTTATCTGGTTGATGTTGTATTGATATTGTAAGGAGAAATTCTGTCTTGGTCACTCATGGGTTGGAGATAAAGGGTTAAGCATAAGGCCACCATTCCACTTACTTAGATCGTAGTAAAGATTTAGTCAAAACACAAAAAAAAACAGCTGATTGGATGACTGCTGAACTAGCAATTAATACTGCCAATAGTGTAACAAAATCGTTACTTCTGGTCTCTGTAAGCAAAGCAGTTGCAGCTTGGAGCACTGCTTTATTTAGACATTAAAGCTGGAAATATCATTTTGAAGGTTTCAACACAGCCTTGTCCTTTCATCAAATAGAGAGCTAATCTTGAGTCTCATCTCATAGACTTCTCAGCGGACATCATTTTTCCTTCCACTTGAGACTGAGAAAGCTTTACATGTAACTAGTGAAACTACTGTTCATCAGGTGGGTCTCTCTGAATGCATATTTGTTTATTTTCTATCAACTTTTGTTTGAATTGTTAAGCCTTTTATAGGTGTTCTTTAATCAATCATGTGTTGATTGTCTGCAATTGATTCTGAATGTGGTGAATTTACCACTGGAGGAATTTTGGAAAATGTACTGTTGAATGTTGATCCTTGAGCAGAGAGAGCTGCAACATTTTTAAGTTCCAAGAAGAGGTTAACATTCAAAATTGGGTTTTTCTAAACAATTAATTCATTTAACACCTTTTCCAACTTCCAGGTGACATTCAACTGCTATGTTTCACTTGCTTGCCAATACATCTGACACAGACCACAATTCTCTTCAAAGAAAACTAAAAGAAACCAATCTCTTTGTTTTTAGTGACCATCAGTTAATATTGCTGGAATTTTTGTTTTAAGATTCCTTTTTTTTTCCCTAGGTCATTGTAGCTCTTCTCAAGAAGTTCAAAGTTGCTGATAATCCAAGAAAATTTGCATTATTTGAGTGTTACCAGGAAGAAGATGACCATAGTAGGTTTCAACAGGTTTTTCTTTACCTGCTAAGCACTTCATACAACTTAATCAATAGTTTAACACACAACACATGTGTATATTTTGCAAGTTACATGTTTTTCTTAGCCCTGGAGTTACTAAGAAAATTACAAGCAATGAGCAGAATGTCCATCATTATTAAATGTTAAACCATTGATCAAGGGATTTATTATACCACTTTTAATTAGTTTTCAGTATTTTGGCCTCTAGTTTTCTTAATATATCCCAAAACTTTATCTGAATGTCATATTGCTTGCATAAGCTGTGTGCAAAAGTTGGAAACAACATAAGCAAGACCAGTTTACATGATTGGCAAAAAAACTGAATGATGTGCTTAATATTTTGTTGTGTTAAAAGTCAAGATTTAAAAATGGAGTAAAACTAAATAGCACTATTCCCCTGTTTGGTATATACAAATAAAGATTATAATTACCTCTCTGCCTTTCAGACTTATTGCTCAAATTTTTAGGCTTCCATCAAATGGCTGAGTGAATGCATTCATTTCCAATAATGGTCTACATTACCAGAAGCAATTATGTGATACAGTGTTTGAAATATCTTGTGAAACATTTCACACCATTTTCATAACACATTTGTATAACATGTCACAATCTTACTTGCGAAATTTGTCATGTGAAAGGCATAAGAAAACCATGTGAAGTATGTTATCCTTTTTTATCAGTGTTTTACATGCTTTCTGTGAAACTAGAGTAAACTAGAGTTTAATGCAATGTATTTAACCCATTATATAAAGTCTTTTTTGATGATTTTTCTTTCAGTTATTCTTCGTCGGATGTCTGACTTTGAGAAACCCCTGGTGCTAAGGTTACTTTGGGGTGGAGCAGATATAAGACACAAATTCTCACTCCAGGAGAATGAAACAGGAGATATTGTGGTAAGTGCAGCCAAATTTTCAAATTAAAATTGGGTTAACCCAGGGGTTAACTTTTCACTTAACATTTTTACAGTTAGAATTTTTGCCTTTTGAAAGTTATATGAAGTAAATTGGTTTGACAAGAAGTAGATTAATCTAGTTCATTTTACAGTTGTTGGGTTGGTTGCAAAGCCTTTGAATAGGAGTAAGGCCAAGGGTGACCTTGTTATAATACAAACCTTGCTGCTTTTCAAATGTAAATTACTTTGTTTTCATGCTAACTAGATACTGGTCTCTATCACAACAAGGTCACCTTCAGCCTCACTCCAAATTAAAGGCTTGGCAACTGAGTTTGCAACTGTAAAATGGCCTATAGGTTGGACAACAAATAGATGAATCTAACTTATGAATCAAAATGAATCTATGTAGCCTGTCCTTTTGGTTGAATTCATTATCATATGAGTCAAAAAAGATAGCAAAAAAAAAAAAGATTTATGGTGGTGTAATGCACAGAATACTCCGACCCCTATTTTCATTTTGACAGCTGTGTGACACTTTTTTTCAGTGGGAGGTATTCTCCATACCAGAGCTTCAAAATTTCATGAAGATACTGGACAAAGAAGAGGAGGAACACATATTGCAGGTCAGTGGCTTAATGTTATATCAACCATCATTGTCATATATATATACTAGGTATTTATGAAATATTAGAATGAATGTAACTTTCATTTCCCCACAAGCAACAGAGGAATTTTTAAATGGGGGCTCACAGGAACAAATTTCTGAGCCCCAAATGTAAGCTGGCTTATGCCAGTGCCCCTTTTGTGTATCTGTGGGCTTATATTGATGTAGAAAGAAGAACTGCTAGATGATCATGGTAGCCACAAAACCTCTTATTGACCCCAACTCGAGGTTTATGCTGTGATTTACAGACTAAGTTTATTCCACTTGGATTTACACAGAGGAGATAGTACTGGGGCGCCCTAACTACACTTTACAATGTTGTCATGTTTACCAGATTTATCAACAGATCATTTTAACTTTTCATGAAAGGTTTCTTTACTTTTTTGCTTAAATTTTATAAAAATAACCTTTTTTCAAATTATTTTGACAAGCTGAATTTACATTCAGGTGATCTATACATTTGATCCTGTTGGGATGTGTTTTAAATTGTCATTCAGTTAAAGGGTTCGTGTAGATCAGCTTGTCGTAATTGCTGGAGGATATGATTGTAATATCTCAACTTCTCTCTTGTTTACTTCATTCACATGTGAGAGATATCATCAACACTCAAAGATTAGATTTTTATTCCACAGGCAGCTATTGAATATTATCTTTTTCATTAACCCTGGAACCCACGATCACTCACCCAAGATCTCATTATTAATTCTCCTTACTGTCTGCCTTACAATTCTGCTGATGTTAGTTTGGAGAATTTGGTATTAGATCAAGTAAAAGTCTCTTTCTTAGTTCGCATTTCTTCATTCCCATCACCTGTCTGCTTGATATTGTATCAATTATGTTGTTGGGAAAAATTATCTCTTGGTCACTCATGCGAGTTTAAGGGTTTACAAACTTAAATATTTAACTTTAACAGGTGGAAGAAAAGTACAGACTTTACAAGGAAAGATTAGAGCAGGCTTTGGCACTGGTACAACCAAACCAAACAGTCTGCGATGAAGAAAAACCACCTTCTGATGAGTCTGGTGAAACAGCAAGATTATAACTAGAAAGAGGTTCTGTTATAGATTTTGTATTATATATGAGTTTAGAATACTTACACCTACAAATAGAGAAGGATATTTTAAACAGCTGCATTGACAAATTGTATTAGTTTTAACACTGATAATAATTTATTGTAACGGCAATTGCCTTTACATTGTCACTTTTAAAATGAACACATACGTGCCAGGTGTTTCATTATGCATCATGTCATGGAATTTTCTGGCTTCAATTCTTTAACTCCTAAAATCTGATCATTAATCCTCCCCGCTAGCTGCAACACATTTCCTTGTAAATCGCTTACGAGACTTTGGCAACTTCTACCTGATAAGTTTGATTTTTCTCATTAGCTGTTTGCTGGATAATGTATGGATACTATATGGAGAAGATACATCTTAATCACTTCTAGGTGTTAAAAGATTAAGTGTGTGAGCTAGTTTTTATTCAGGTATGTAGTTTAGTTACCTATTACTCTTTACCAGTGCCTTGTAACCTTATTTCTTAATGAAAACCCTGATACCAGTATGTAATAAATACAATGGATGAATATCAGTATTTATAATTGGTGGTTCTCAAATAGCCCAAAGAATAAACTTTTGATAACTTTTATCTCTGTGACTATTGTTTCAATGCAAGAGTACGGTATTTACTCATGTTAAGGTTGAACTCATGTTTAAGTCAACCCCCCATTTTCAAGGTCAAAATCGGATTGTTAATCATCTCTAGTTAAAGATATAAAATTCAGATGGACAGAAATTTCCCAAAAAGTTATTCTCTTATTTCATAGAATGTATTGAAAACACGATGAATTAAAAAACTGCAGAGAAAAATGTGACTGTGTGCTGTGAAGTTTATTGGCACTTACTTATTAAGCCATTCAAATTTTTTTGTTGACAAAGAATGTACTGAAAACTGATGAAACTCGTACACAATTAGAACTAGTTTTGTAAACTTGGTTTTCCGAATGGACTTTAGGCAATCATTCTGCTAATATATGAAGTAATACCACTGCTCAGCCTTGTGAACCTTTAGCTTCCCAAGAGTTCCAGCTGCATTCACCGCTTGGCTCAAGAACAGACCTTATCTTTACCTTCTTTCACTATGTCCAAAAGTGCTCCCAGTAATGAAAATGGAAGGAGACAAAATTTGTCAAACAGAGTTAATGTTCATAGATTTGATGATTTTGGTGAATTTTAGTCCAATTTGTCAAAGTGAAATCAGCTTGGCAGGTTTGACAAATTTTGCCATTTTCATTACTGCATGCATTTCTGGAAATAGAAATTGACTTGGTGGGTCAAGCATAAAAAAAAAAGAAAGAAAGAAAGAAAAGAAAAGGTGAGAGTGAACTGAAAAGAAATTAACCAAGGTTATTGTCAGGGTTGGGTGGAGTGATGTTGTTTTGTAAGAACTATTTTTCCAGGTACACCCCTGTGATCTTCCTTTCCTTCCACAGTTTTTGATGTAAGTTTGCCTCCTTCAACTCCGGGCAATAAAATTTTCCTATTTTCAAGACTATTTTCATTATTATTTTGTATCCACAAACTTCATTTGACAGCGTTGTTCTAAAACATTGGGTCATGCTAGAAATGGAAAGCAAAAACCTTCCCTGGGATAACCTGACACAGACAGCAAATTTCTCGTAATGCCAACTCTCATGGACTCTCATTGAAACCCTTGGCTGTCTGTGAAGGTGATTGACATTTTGACAACCTGAGAAGAATTCATCTTCAGAATCAAGTAACAAATTGTCTGTCAATCAAGTAAGAGTCTGGCTTAAAGAAACTGGTTGGTCAATTTTGTTGCCATATTGTGGGCTAAAAAAAAGTGGCAATCAGCAGTTGTGATTAGTCAGTTTTGATCTGTCAGTGAAATTGTTATTGTCTTGTTTGGTCTTTACATGAAGTTTCCAAATCACTTTCAGCTCTGAAACTGGAAGCTAAAAGAAGCTGAATGTTTACGCATGCCATCAACAGGTATAAAATAACACAACATCCATCATTCCTTATTCAATTAAGCTCTTATTTGAACATAATTTATCTACCTTACCTTAGTTAATAACAGAAAAAATAAATGACTAAAACATCATCCAAATTTTTTTATAATACTGTACAATCTTCTTGTTATTTCTACTAAAAACAACAATACCCTGAAGAGAATTATTTCAATTGGAGAGGAGGTCCCCAACCTTTCACTACAAACATTATTTAAACATAAAGGCTAAATGCCCCACAGCTGGGCATGATCTTAAAAGGACTGAATGCCAGCAGTCAGAATGCTTGTTAAGCAAATTTTCCTTGTCAGCACCTTACAAAATGTAGAGAACACAGTGTGGAGATTATGCATATTGATGTTCACGTGTGAAGGGTTGACAGATTTAAATGAGGTTTTCCACAAGAATTTGGCAGAAAACTTCTGACTGCCAGGCATTTAGTCTATTTGAGACCATACCTGTCAGTCTGACCAGAAATGTTTTCTGAGTGAAGGGGAATTGCTTCACATTTCTTAAAAAACATCTATCATTCTTTATAAGAGTGAAAGAATCTTTCAGTGGAAACTCTGTGAAAATTTCTGGCTGTCAGCATTTAGTCAATTTAAGCCTTTACCTAGCTGCCAGGCATTTAGTCACAGTCTTATTTTACACATCTGCATTCTTCCTCAATAAAAAACAGAAGTTGTTGCTATCAGTTCAGTTAAATTGGTCACCTGAGTAACTGCCAGCTCAAGGAAAGAAAGTAGCTAGAGATGTCTGGCGTGACGATGCAATAACTCTGTGGTCAAGAACAAAATGTTTCTGGTAACATTCTGAATTTCATGCAAGTCTTGTCCGTGAATGACCCAGCTGTTTAGCAATGTTCTTGATAGATTCCACATTCATCTCATATGAGGTTAGATCTAGAAATTTTGAGGTCATTTCTCTAATATGCCTCGCACATAACAACTGGAAAATCCACATTTAATCTTGGATACGGTAAATCAACTAGTCCTTGAGGTAATAGTCGCCGAGTTACTTTCTTCATGGAATACTTCTTCCCTTTCTTGTTTGGTTTAACTTCTTCATAAAATTCATGGGCTAGATCACCATCTTCATCAAAGTACATGGAGCTGGGTGAAAGAAAAAATACGCGATTCTCTGGATTAGCCATGGATCATGATTATTCAACTTATCACAAATAAAATATTTCGCGAGATTTGCGGCTAACCAAAATTGTACTATAATTGCCTGCTTTCAGCTGTTTCGCCGCTTTACGTAGGTACAGGAATGATTTTCGAAAATAAAACCGACTAAGGATGAAGAGAGGACACGACAAGTGTGTGTCGATCTCTTGTTTAATGCAAATAAAATGTCGATAGGAACCGTATGACGCACAAGAAGAACCAAAAGCTTACGTCGTGTTTTGGTGTTCTCGTCCCTTAATTCATCTACTAATTAAACATGATTACCTCTTAAATTAGTTTTTTCTTTTCTATACAAAGGAAGAAAACGCAAACTATCTTCCAGTGATGAAAATTAAACCTGTACCATTTTTTTTTCTAAAGTACGAAGACTTAATCGGCCTCAGCTGCAACATTACCAGTTCGGCTTTTCTTGCGTCAGATGAAACAGAATTTCTTCCGAAAAATCTCAAAACAATTTTTAATTTACTTGATCAAAAATCACATAAGGTATACAAAACACTAGTTTGAGGAGAAAAAACCAAAATAAAACCGATTAACAGTGAAATACATACCTGGTACGTTTCCAAACAAATGGCGTCGCGGCGAGAGACGATCGGCCATTATCAGGGAACGTTTGATTGTCTCCCCCACAACTCATCATGTACTGTAGCCCTCCATACATGTTAGAAACAACAGATCCCATCCTGCTATCTTAATTTTAAAGAATTTCCTGGCGTACAAGCCATTAAAAAGCTACTTGTTTCGACTCGAAAACATCGATACGTATGTTGACAATTGGACTCGAATACTCCAGAAACATGGCGGTTGGGAAAGCGAAGAGACTGGGTATAGGTACATTTCTAGTAGGGTTTCAGCGGTTATGGCTGTTTCTGTTCCTCACACCTCTAGGGCTCTGTCAGGATAATAAGGCTCCTGATGTTGTAAAGGTTTTCTACATCCAGTTGCTGAAGCAATTCGAACAGACTCATAGCCTGGAACACGCTTAGGCCTTTAGGTGGGGTCGAATTTTCGCCGTCTACTCGGGTACGGTCTTCGATCCTCTCCTTATCAGTGGAGTTGGCCCTTGGGGTAAGGGGCCGGGGGGAGGGGGGAGGGGATGAAAAGATGAACGAACGTAGCATCCCATCCAACTAGTAAGACTCTTTTTGTCACTTTTTATAGCAACCTCATCCCCAGGGCCTTTTCCCTTAGTTGGGAGTGGGAAAAGGCCCTGGGAACGAGGTTGTTTTTATAGCCTTTGCTGGATCTGGAAACCGAGGTATTAATTAGTGAGCTACTCGGCTCGAAAAAGGTAACCCTTCAACTCCCATGAGTGACCAAGACAGAATTTCTCCTTATAATATCAACACAATATCAACCAGATATGTGATGAGAATAAAGAAAAATATCAATTTGGGGATAATCAGTTGATCCAATAGTAAATTCTCCGAACTAATATTATAAGAATTGTGTGGTTGACAATGAGGACGATGACAAATTTGATCTGGGAGTTAAAGGGTTAATCTTTTTGCAAACAGCACTGATGGTTTTTTTAATTTCTGTCGGGAAAGAAATAGGTGATGCTTAACTTGATTATTTTGTGAATAAATATTAATTAGAAATTGACATTTGTAACGCAAAGAAGTTAGATTTCGTGACACTAGATCTCACAATAACGTAGACAAAGTCCGAGTTTATTTACGATATAAAATGATGTAACTGCGTGCATTTTCTTAGGCTTAATAAGGTGAAAGAGCATGCGATTTTGTAATAGTCACTAAATTTAGATACATTACAATGGGAACTTTTGCTGTACATGTGATTAATGTAAAAATACTGCCTTACGAAAGGATAGTAGAAAAAACCTCTGTATACTTAGATTATGTTAGTTGATCGTTGATCGTTGATCCTTGTGTTACGACCGTTGAATATGTGAGAATTGTATATCGCAATAGATTGTTGGTTTGGATGAATACAGTCCTCTTGATTTGTTTGAACAAGCGAGCGGGGTTAAAAGACTTCCGCAACAATTTCCACACACTCAAGACTTCGTTATTATTCGTCCTTAAAAAGCGCTGAAAAAACTTCTCTTTTGATCAATTACAAGAGAAATAATATTTTTAAAAAAAGCAAAGGTGGCTCAAACTCAGATCACCCTCCTCAGATGTCATAAAATATTTTTAGTGCGCTTTCCACCGGAAGTGACATCCATTCCACCCATTTGTTTTGACAGATTCTTAGTGGCTAATATTGACCTACATCACGTAGAGGTGATGAAACTTTGCGCCAAAAAATTCCCGCAGCGTGTATTGTTCGACTCAGTATGATAAAGGTCACTTCACATCATAAAGCATTCCACATGCTTTAGACAATCATTGAAGCGTGCTTGCTCACAACCGATCGAACGGATTTTTTGCGGTCGTAGTGATTTCTTTCTACCATTCAAGAATTGAAGTTTGTTACCTCATCGAGGACCCAGTGTTCTTGTAAGTGATATTTCCTTAACTCTGTTTAAATAGAGCTGATGAACTCATTACGGCGAGATTGGCTGGTCTGTGAGCCAGACATCCATTGCGCTCGCAAAAGACAGAAAAGAGTTTGATTAGCATAATACTATCTTTCTGAATACTTTCGCTCAGTGATAAATGACAAATCATGATGGTTTGCAATCATCCAGCTGTTTTCAGTTAAATAATGTTAACTGAGAAGATAATTCGACATTAGCGCTCTAATTCGTGTTGATGACAAACCTTTTGCCAATTGAAATATCTTGTTTATGAAGATAAGAGGACTTGAGTCGATTTGGTTCACTAAGCAGCGCCAAATAGTTTCAACACGAAAATCTAATTCCCTGCAAAGTTTTATTAGCATCATGGTTCACTACTATTTCTAATCAAGTGCGTATATTATAAAGAAAGAACTCGTTAAAATCTTGATTCTTGATTGCTTTTTCTCTCCAATCCAGAAAAGTTTCGTGCATAGAAAAGAGCGAGGGGGGGGGGGAATACTCCAGGGTAGTTTGGGCAGACAGGTGCTACCAACAACAACAAATCCTGATCCTGTATTTTAATTATCATTGTTAATTTTTTTTTTATTTCTTTATCTTGCTGTTCTGTTTTCTATTCTGTGCACGACATAAAATCGCTTAAGTTATTTTTATTGTAAAAAACCTCAAGGAACAAAGTCTACAAATTCAGAAAGAACTTTTGAGGATAAGATCAAAAAGTAGTTGTTCTTGAGATCTTTAATATTGCTTCAACTTGATGTATAGTAGGTGCGCACGTTAAAAGAGTATAATTAAAAGAGGTTAAGAACAGCTTTTAAGCGTGGGCTGATGGCAAACGGGAAAAAGTAGATTTATTCCTTTCTTCCGTCAGCTCTTCTTTGCATTTAAATTAAATTTTTCCACGAGCTGTTTACAAAAGATTTTCATGCAGTTTTTATTGTTGGGTTGAGTTATGTTTGTAAGGAAACCGAACAAGGTCATGATTTTGATTTTTTTTATTGCCCACTGCTCGACAAGACTTGTTTTTGGCCATGAAACGGAAGCTCCCCTCCCATATAACTTGCAGCATTACAGGAAGCAGGAACTAGATCGGACAAAGGGCGTCAAAATCGATAAAAATATGGGATCAATATCAGTATCTGGGCAACTGCCCACCTACCCCTCCCCTAACCCAACATTCACCCTAACATGTTATCAATTGACTGTTGTTGGGTTAGGGGAGGGGTTGGTGGGCAGTTGCCCTGATACTGATATTGATCCAAAATATTGTCGTGAAAACGACAAATTGGTGTCTTTTACTGCGTGTTCTTGCTTGTCGACATTTTTTGGCAAGGGCAACCTTACTCTGCACCCATAAATCATGAATATTCTTGCTTCGACGACCCAAAAGAAAGACAGATGTGTATAAAACATTCTTAGGCAGGGAGTGAAGGGTGGGGGGGGGGTAGGGGTGAAGAGAAATAGGGTTCCATTATGAAACCACCCATACATGTCCACGAAGCTATAAAATCAGACTTCTCAGTTAGAAGGAGATTTATGATGTCGTATTTTTTTGAGCAAAATTTACACGATTCATTCTAAAAGACTTAAAGAGAAGTCGAGCTATTGTCAGTGATGAAAGACGTACAACTCAACGCTTTGATAATATTTTTGGCACTCCTACCAAAACATACCAATGAGTTCAAATTTAATTGTCTCCTTAGGTTACCGTCAGCACGTAGGGCTACGTATTTCAACTCAAGCTGTTCCGCTTTGATCCACATTATAAGTACGGGAACAAGAAAACCGGACGTTTTGTCATTGATTCTGTGGCCTTCTTGGTTTCAGCGCTAAACATCACGACGTTTCGTTCACCGTCGTAAATCACAGCCAGGGAAACGAGAGACAAATTATGTCACTAATGAAGATGATGGATTTTGGAAGAAATTTCTTGATGATACATTTGACCTGGGTTCTAATAAACCTGGCTGGAATAAGCTCAGCTTCGAGCAGTAAGTTTTCATAGAATTATTTTGTTACTATCTAGAGCGAAAGTGATTATTCATCTTTTGCCTTTTTTCAAATAATGCTGTGTTTCGTGATGGTTAAAGAAGATCGAAACTAAATAGAAGATTTAACATTCCCAATCGGATTTACCTCGAAGATCGCTGGAGTGGTTTTTTGGGTTTCAGCAAGACCTTTCCCTCTCTGTTGTTTTTGATATTGCTTCAGTTCGACTAAGGCTTGTTGTAGTTCGTTTTTGGCATGTTTCCTCTCAGTGTCTTTTTAATTTCAGGCAACACTAACTTTTTCAGTTGTCTTACAATAGAAAAACCTCGATCACTTAACTTACATTACAACATATGTTACTGAATAAGCTTTGTTCATCCGATATCTTTGTTAATCATCAATGACGGGAGCATTGCATAGAGAGTCTTCAGACAAATAGTTACCACAGAAAAAAACAGAAAATATAGAGAAAACAGCGGCGAACTATGTAACTGTTTACAAAAATATTAGATTTGCCTGGATAACAAAACCCTCCCCTTCTCTGAAAATTCTCTAACTTACCTCCCACTTTATCATTAGTGCCATGATGCGGCTTTCTCAGTGTTCAGGAATTTTCCGTTTTGAACTGGTCTGTACTCGTCAACCGGTCGATACAGTGAACATGAAGCCAGCGTGTAGTTTCCATTGGTATTTTTTTGGAAACCGGATTTATCACATAAATGTTATCGCTGAGATTCCAAATTATTTGACCTTACCATATAGAAAAACAAATGCCGCTAAAGAAAAACAAGAGAGTTTAAAAAGTGAACCAATTCCTTGCCAACGTAACAAACCATTTAGGAAATGAGTTATTTGTGCAATGAATAGAGCGAAAATTATATGTTAATTGGCGTTATTTACTTTTGTAGTTCATTTACAACAATTGATACGCTTTTAATCTTTTTTATAATTGGCTAAACGACTTATTAAAGGTTTCATAGCACTATATACTTGCTAAAAAGTGTTATCACAAAAAATAAAGGGAACGCGTATACTAAGCTTGTGCTTCACCTTTTAGCTGTCAACTGGCGAAATAAATGAACGAATTTAAAAGAGGCGATCTTACTAAGGTTGTAATAAGCCAGCCAAAAATTTTTTTCGGTTAAAAGGCTGTGGTTATTTGATTAAGAACATGTAGATACTCGCTAAAACTTGTTTTCAAAATTGTGAAGCTGAAATCGCTGAAACACGCTCCAACGTTCGCTCTTAAAATCCAACAAATTATTTGTTTCAAAATTTTATTTCTCATACAGCCGAGATTTTTTGATCTTACTCCTCTCAGACTTCTCGAAAAAAGCTGACGTGATATTCTCAAATTAAAACAATTTGTAAACGAGAGAGGGATAACAAATACGTGTTTCTCCGCCTGTCATGATCTTAATCCGTTTGAGAATACCACATCCGAACTTAGAGAAGGAATGCATATCCATGTTATGGCAAATTATCAAGTTCATCTGTCCATGTATGACCTAAGAAAGCTGGATATTTCTTTCAAATCGCTCCTTTCGCTTTCAATTCATCAGTTAATTTTCAAGCCTTTCTCTAAAATCTTTACAAAGCACTTTCTTCAGAGATTTTATCGCGAGAAAAAAAGAAAATCCTAAGCCGTCGACGGGAAAAAAGCTCAGCCTGCAACGGATGAAATCGCCTTTTCTTATGAGGATTACCAATAAGCATTACTAAAGGATTACCATTACGGCTTTGTTGGCGCGATGTGCCCACAGCTTTAGAGAGCAATCAGCGATCGAGTTCAAAGGAAGAAAACTAAAGTTATTACAGTAGCCATTTAGATCAGAGCTAAATATCGCAAGGAGCTATAATGGGAACTCTAAGTAATGCGCAAGCAAAATGCCTAAAGCGCAGGAAAACGTGCTAGTGACTAAGTCACGATTTCGCGGCCATCTGGGGCCAGAATTCTAAACTTTTCGTGCAAAGAATTTGATAGAAACCTTGTGCAATCCCGGGTTATTTTCGATTTTTTTAACTCAGTCGCTATTGATGAGAATTGCCTGACATGATTTCTTAGAACAAGCCGTGGCCAACACACACAGAGAAGGGACCAAATTCTTGTGGATTTGAGCAGCAACTCGTGAAGTGGGTATAAAGTGTTTCTTCAGATGCTAAGTCGAGTACTTAAGTTCTGAAGTCTTCAGAGCATAATCTTACATCTCTGAAGAAATTAGGCGACGCATTGCGAAATACTTGGAAAGTATTTTGTCCCCTTTGGCAAGGTAAACAAGAAAAAAAAAATATATTTAATCGAGTCCAATACTTCTGGAAATAAATACGACACACGCTCTCGTTGGTAAAAAAAACTGTCGTACATTTCACCGGTAAACGCATTAAAAGCTGGGACGTTTCACAATTATTTTATGTCAGCAATAGACTTAACTTTCTATCGGTTCAACGGCGGAAAAAAGCGAGAACTTTCTTCTGTTCTTCCAATAGCTTACGGGGTTTTTCTCGGTGGTAAACCGACACAATGTGAATACGATTTTGGCCTGAACAAACTAACTTGATTATTTTGGTCATTCATTGCGGTAGATCCTTTATTAAATTGCCGTTATTAAATTTCTCTAAGAAGTGCCCGAAAGGCATTTTTTTGATAAATCATACTCGTTTGCCCTGTGTAGAAGATTGTCTAGAGCGTTGACTTTCACATGGGATAAAATTCATTCCTATCTAAGAAAAGTTTTTTATCAGCCCCAGGTCAACCAAAAAACCTTCACGTTTCAAGTGTTCATGACCTCACGATCACGCTACGGTGGAGAAGACCACTGACTACTGCAGGCTTAACAGACAACTCCACACTGTCCTATACTGTATCATATCAGGTTGATCAGGATTCTTCCCTTAAACGGTTGATCGTACCAACAGAGAGTGCTCAGCTTGATTTAGCTTTTAAGAAGCAGTATAATATATTTGTGCAGGCCATGCACAGGCAGGATCATCAAATCAAAGGCGATTGGTCCCGCAAATTGGTGGTCAACACAAACAACTTGGGTAAGTTTTCTAGGGCTTAGCTAGAACGAAGGAGCTTTGAGCCGCGTTAGACCTATTAAAATAATAATAACCAAATTGCTCCTAAGGACACGTAAGACAAGGACCCACCCCCCCCCCCTCCACCATGTTAGAAAACCCTGTCATCCCCCTCCATCTTTGTTTCCAACAAACAAACAGACAAACAAACAACAACAACAAAGAAAATAAACAACCTGAGATGCCCAATAAATACAAGTAGCCCCGGACAGTTTTTAGGATTGACAGGATCATGTGAAACACTTATGCAATTCTTCTCCAAAGAATACTCTCTAAAATGATGTTAAGCTTACACCAATGAAACGCTTTCTTTTGATCTCTACAGTTCCAGCGAAACCCACCAATTTTAAGATTGCCAGTATCAGGGAAATAGGGTCCAAGTTCCAAGCGACATTAACTTGGGACAAGCCAACCACAACTACCAGTGGGATAACGGATTCGTCCACAATTAAATATTATATCAGCTACAAAGTTCTCAAAAGTGGTCCCAATAGGCAAACGCAGAGTTCTTCAGAAAGATATTCTCTTCGCAGTCTTGCAGCGGCCTCAACATATCAGATAAAAGTCAGAGCTTTTAAGACCTCTAAGCCAGAGATGGTTAGCGAATGGTCCGACCCCAAAATACTTCAAACAAATGAATCAAGTAAGGAGATGCACGCATGTGTAAACTTCCCACAAATCAAGATTCTCCCCTTTACATGTTAGAGATTTCCTTGTTAATTAGTTGGGAGAATTCGGTGTGAGATTAAGATAACAACTTCTATCTAATAAGTTTCAGTATTCTCATTAACTGCTTGCTGAATAGAGTATGGACGTAATATGGAGAAGTTGCATGTTAATAACTTTTGGAAGATCAAGGGGTAAACAAACTATTTCCACCCTATCCCCACACTGTTCGCAGTGCGCATGCACATATTTTGGGATGGGAGGCCTGTCGAGACTTCCCTGAGGGTATTCTGAAAATAGAGGACTCTCTTAAATCAGAGCCATTTCTAAAGCTCGCATTCTAATTCAATCATTATGGGACCTTTTCTGTTTTAGGACCGAGCAAACCACCAGGAAATGTCCGAGCCGTTTCTAACACACCTTCATCGCTAACAGTCTCATGGAGTCCAATCCCTAAAGATGGTCAAAATGGCGTCATTTTGGGCTTCGTTGTGTTTTACTGTGAACAGACTGATTGTGAATCGAATAAATGGACTAAAAACTATGTAAAACTAGTTTTTTCTCACCAATTGCAAGGTCTTGTGAGTGGAAAGCAATACTCTGTCAAAATAGCGGGATATACGAAGATTGGTGAGGGAAGGAAGTCTAAACCGATTAAGAGGGTTGTTATCGGAGGCTCATTTCTCACAACTACAAGAGAAACTACTTCACAAAAGTCAACAACGAGTAAGTATTGTTTCATCACTCAAACACAGTAGTCAAACTGGGCTGGGTGACGTGTCAAATAAACAACCACACGAACAAGTAAATCGCGTGAAAACCGCATAACTTTTGTAGTTGGTAAACAAAATAGTAACCAGCAGCAAACCAGCTTTTATGCACGAAAATTCTCGAGTTCTCCTTTCCCTACGATTGTTGCCTTTTACAGATTTGCACGAACGTACGTATATATCATGCTTTTTTTTCACATATTTGGCGTGACAGCGGTAGTTTCTTATTTTTTCCTTTGCAAGTTTGTGCGGGAAATTGGCGCGCGGCTGACCGAAATTGATCCTCTTGCGCATGCCCTACGTTTGACCGCTGTGTTCATCACTCGTCACTTTATTTCTAGAGGAACTTAACGAAGAAAAGCGAAACAGCATTTCGATGACTTCCTGTAATTTTTATTAAATACGGAAGAGATTAGCTCAAGTGAAACATATAGGCACAGAAATAGAAGAGTGAAAATAGTCACGCAAATAAGAAAAAAAGTATGAAGAAGTTATTCTATGAGCAAAAATTTTCGCGCGCATGGAGTCTACTTGGTGTTTTAAAAGGTGTGTCAATCCCTTTCTGATTAAGAAAATCTCGAAAATTTAACACTACAGTTTGCTACGGCACTTCTACACGATTGCAAAAATTCTCACGTTAGTTCGTTGACAAACACAATATAAGATCAACGGCGTCTTTTCATGAGAGAGCTACAAAATGTAAACTTGTAATCTGCTGTAACCTACAGTTGCCCCAGAAACGACGCAAAGTACGCCGATCAAGTCTACAAAAACAGTGACTGTGCATGTGGAAACAGTGACAAATGTTTCAACAGAGAGCCTGACGACAATTGGTGAGTTACGCCTCATACACATGCTGCAGTTATTTGAGAATGTAAGAGATATTTGAGAATTTGTACTTACAGAAAAGCGACTCCTCCTTCGGGAGCTCTCGCCTTTTAGCTTTGACTTGCCCCCAGTTGCTTTCATAACGCGGGCGGTAAGAAAGCGTTAGAAGGAGAATAGGAACGAGTAAGATCCTTATTGGACTATTTAGATGAAAGAGGTGAAATTACTACTTTAATGACGTCACTTAGTCAACAAACTATCCAGAAGACTAGCTAAAGAGTGAAAATTATTATGGACTAAAAGATAACATTCATTTCAATTCTGCTTCTTTTCCTAAATTCTTAAAATCATCACAAACATGCTTTGAATTCGCGAGAAGCGAAGGATAATACTTCTACTTAGTTTCAAAACTAACTAATTTGGTATCGACTTACATGTACATCTCTATCGCAGTTGTATTCCCCACCGAGCCAAAGAAAACAGAACCGACTTTATCAAGGACTGTAGCAACTGTTCAATCAACACTTTCCTCAGAGAAGGCTGTAACAAGCGATCCGTCTGAGCCGCTCACACCAGTGGTTGCTAAACTTGATCAAGGTACGTTTGTGTGAAGAGGCTAGTTTTGTTATAGCTGTCGTTTATAAGATAATGCTGCAGACCGCAGCCAATTTGTAAGTTGTCGATTTAGAGAAATTTTCAATTTGGTGTCGAAAGAAATCCTAGATTGCTTAAGTTTTGCGTTATTTCACTCTGCAGCTGTGATTGGTCCAAAAAAACTCGCATCACTCTCTCAACCTATCAAATACTAAAGAAATTCAATCGCGACTTAGTCACCCGCGTTTTCCCGCGCTTTAGGCAGTTTGCTTTTTCTCTTTGGCTCAATAGGGTAAATTCCTTTCTTCTGACTGGTTTTGTTTTGGTTTGAGGACATTCAATCGAAAAGCGCTCTATATATAGGTTCGAACACTGATTGAGGTCATTCTAAATATGAAAGCGATCTTCGTAGTAATGAACACTACTCAAGTAATAGTGAAAATAAGGCCCGAAAAAATCGGACCTGTACAGGATTTGAACCCAGGATCTCTGTGATTCCGGTGCTGACGAACCAACTGGGAGCTGGTCATTATATTAGTTCGTAATAAATCCATCAAGAGGTGAATAAATGACTGTAAATATATTATTTTCACTATTGCTTCATTGGTGTTCATTATTTCTTAATCCACAGTTCACATATATTTTTTCTTTCTTTAAAAATAAGTTCACATACATGATTTTCACATATTTACGGTCATTGTGGTCATTCTGTTTACATGTACAAGTCTACGTCAGAGTTCACTGTTCCATATTATAACAAATTTCATTTCAGTAAAAAATCATTAATATATTATCCGCTGCTTAATTTTCAGCAAGAAAAACATCTAAGGACAACATGCTAAACAAAATTCTCATAATTGGTGCTCCTGTGGGCGGCGCCATTCTCCTGGTCATCATATTCGTAATTGTCTTCACCTTAACGCGGAAACGTTCACGCAAAAGAAGACAGCTGCTTCAAAATGGCGCCAAGCCAAGGCGGTCA